AAGTACAATTGGAACAAGAACAACAGGTAATAGGGTCAACATGTATTCCACCACCATCAGCACAGCTACTAGTAATGACAATGCTGCCAAAATGATAATAATATCATAATTAGAAAATAACTACAATAGTAGTACTAATAATAATCATAACAGCAATTATACAATAACAATCAAATCCTGGCATCCATGAGGAATGCGGAGACAAGGAATATTAGTGAAACGTACAATCCCTGCCGATGTTTTCGCAATTGAGGTTTCCAGGATGCTGCCAGGCGAAAATTTCCCCAAAGTTTCTGAAGCCTGAAACGCGAAAGCATTGACAGGGATCAAATTTCCTCAAAATCCGCAAGATCCTAGAATCCTGGCATCTATGGGGGGTTCGGGGGCAAGACATCCTGGGGAAATTGATCCCTGCCGATGTTTTCGCAGCTGACGTTGCCACGATGCTGCCAGGATCAAATTTCCCCAAAATTCCTAAAGCCTGAGATGCGAAAACATTGGCAGGGATAGATTTTCACAAAACTCCTAAAACCCAGGTATTTATGGGGAGTCCGGGAGGCAGATAGTTGCTCAGATTTTGGGAATTTTGCAGAAATTTGATCCCTGCCAGTGTTTTCGCATTTCAGGCTTCAGGCAGGAGTATGCGACAACAGGTCGAGGAGATGTTTGTGGGTTTGCCGCTGTCAAAGAGCTTCGCGCAGCATCCGCACGCACGAGCTCCGATCCTCTTTTCAGTGTTGGCAGGCCGCCCCACAGCACCTCCCAAAGCGACAGCAGCAGTGACTTGGTAAATATGAGACACAGCCAAGGCTAAGTCTTATAATTGGACGGCTTGCCTGAGTTGCCTGCGTTTGTTGGATCGACATGGACGGCGCGAGTCGGCATTCTGGCACATGCTTGGGTGGATTGGGCAGGTCAGCCTTACAAAAAAAAGTCAACTAGCTCAGGTTGGGGGTTGTATGCACTCTTTGGCGATTTGCTTTGCCAAAGTGGTTCTCGAAGGTGAAGCTCGGATCGCAGCTCAGGGACTTGGGCGTTGCCCCGGAGCAAGTCGTGGAGGAGAAGGATCCCTGCCATCTGAAAGTTTTCAAGGCAACATCACTTTTTTTGCCACAGGGGAGAGGTGTGCCATGATGTGCGATAGCCTGATCAGTGTGAGTTTGGTCCACAAAACTACCGGAAGCTGAGATGATGAGCACCTTGTCCGCCCTTGCCCAAAAAGCCCATGATTTTCCAACTTTGGAAAGCGCCAAGGAGGTTCGGAGTTATCTCTCCGAGGAGCTCAGTATCTTTTGCATTCAGCGCTTAAGGCTTTGGGATATTAAGCGGTTCGGGCTTAGTGGCCCCGTGACAATGCGGTTGTGGGGTGGAAGGTTTGATCATGTCTAGCGCTTTGACAGCCCGAGTGTTCAAGAGTCTCCTTGCGAACTTGGCCTGCGTGACCCACATGTCCAGTCTTGTCAGTCTCTGGCTTCTTGTCAAGGGATTTAATTTAGGTTACCATAATAGGGATCTATAGTAAGTAATATGGTTTCCTGATTATGGTAATGTAAAAACCAATATCCCTTAACAAGAACCCAGGTCTAGTCGAGATGAAACGTTCGAGTTTGGATGACATGTCGAGCAGCTTCGCGAGGCAGTACAGCGACAGCCCAAAGTGCAAGCTATGGCCAACGAGGTGCTGCGCTCACTCCTAGGGAAAGGGCTTAGGGTTGCCTTATGTATGTCACTGCATCGCCGAGACAATGAACCCGGAAAGCATCTTCAGAATCGTTGGTAGTGAAGCTGCTCTCATTCATGTTATAATGGCCGCCTAGTATCGGGGGATGGTTTAGCAGCCATGCTTAAACTACATAGACTAAGAAGAACGGGGCCTAAGGCTTGTGCAGATGCGTGCAATTTGAAGCCGCAAGCAGTGCCGGTCGGTTGCCAGGAAGGAGTGACGCTGACATGCACTCGCGGGCTGACTGGTGTCGCTGAAATCCAGGCCGTCGTGAGTTTCGTAGGTTTTTTTGGCGCCGTCAGCTTTGCACTTTCATGGAGCTTGTGTGCTTTACTTGACCATGACGTCGTCGCTGCTGTGCAGTCTTGTTTAAAATTTCTGCTGACTGTGCGCAACTGGGCGCAATTTCCAAGCGTGCAGGTTCAGGCACAGTCAGATACCTCTTCCATCGCCCCTTGCCTGCATCGAAGAGAGGTGAAGTCGCTTTGGACTCTTGCGTCACACTCGAAACATGCAAGCACATGCTCCACGATAGCATCGGCATTTAGTCGGGTACAATCCAGCGAGTACAGCGCTTGATCCCTCTTTCTCGAGGCTTCGGAAAATCTCCGGGAGGTGCCGGGATTAGTTGGAGGAGCTATTGAAGACATGTGTGCTAATTCCGCGGAGGATAGCCTCGCAGCAGTGGTGCCGAGCTGGCTTAAGCAGCAGAAGCGATGTCAAAACCTCGGGTCCGTAAGCCGACAAGAAAAGAGGACGGCATCGAAGATGACATCCGGCAAAAGTCTGTTTCGACCCTGTTTAGGCTGGTATACTCCAAGCAGTCCAAGTAGGCTCATCGGAGGTCCAGAATTGCTTTGGAAAGATTTTTTGGCCCGCAATTCTGCTTGAGGCCAAAGGAAAAGGCGGGGAACCACCAAGAATCACTCTGGTTGCCAGGCCGAGATTGCGGTGGACCCGGCGACGTTGCAGCGTGGTGACAGCATCGGGCATGGTCGGAGCCTCAGTGTCTTCAGGGCCTCCACGAGGCCGGTACCAAGCGGTGTTTCGCTATGCGAGACCCTGTTCGGGCTGAGACGGGGGAAGAGCGAGAGTGGGAAGCCAGGGAGGCAATCTTCCGGCTTTTACACACCTGGATGGCCAAGGATCCTTTGGCAGCGTGTTTAAGGCCATGATCGCCGACTCCGGCGTTGTCATCGCTGTGAAGGCTCGCTGTCAGCTGCTCGTTCAGAGTTTAGAGGTTTAAGTTTAGGTTTGCAGTTTCTTCAATGCTCGCAGACTGATGGCCAAGCCTAAGATTGGGAAGCACAGAGTCTAAGTCTAAGCCCCTTGGAGCTGCGTGTCCGGCCTTTCTACTACTTCTTCTTGATCATCATGCAGATACGATAGTAGCTGCAAGAGGCGCAGAAGGGACCAAACAAATGTGAGGCGGTAAATGCTTGGGCTCAAGCTCGATCGCCGAGTGCGTTCTTGCGACTCTATTCTGGCGACACTTCTTAACAGCCGCCAGAACATGGCTAGTATCGCAGCCAGATAGATGCGAGTTAACCCACCGTCCACCACGTGAAACTTTCATCTGCTGAACAGGTGGTTCACCGACAAACTTTCTCAAGAGGCATCCGCGATGTATTTCGACCGGCATGCAAAAACGGCGTTGGCAGGAAAGAGGCAACGAACACTTGGAAGAGGAGGAGAGGTGCTCCCCCTGCCATGGCAGCACGCTGAGAAAAGGAAGAGGCCGCGAACATGGCCTCGGCGAAGACCAATATGTTCTGCAGCAGTCGGTTTGGCGGTGCCCGCAAGCGGGTGGGCGCGCTAAAAGCGCTATACAGGTAGCCGTTGGAGAGCCGACAGTTCTCACCAAACGCGGTTTCGGCTGCCTGCCTCAGCCTGGGAGGGGTTACCACTCCCGGGCCCTTCCTCCGACCAAGGCAGAAGCTACCGCTCCCACGAAATTGAGAACTCTCGAGAGCCTCCTCCCCCGGCTGACGCTGACACAAGTGGCCCGGCAGCGCCAGCAACAAGTTGCAAAGGATTCGATCGCATCTACAATGAATCCCTACGTGCCCAGACTCACAATGAAACAGCAACCAGGAGAGGCGTAAAGCAGAGAAGCCGCCGACGGCCAACGCCTCCGCGTGTCGGTCACGCTTTGCTGCTGCTCCTTTCAACAGTTTGGTCAAAGAGCACATGCAAGGCTTGCTGGAGAGACAGCAAGGCGGCGGCAGGATGTGTCCAGCGCGTTGCGAAGGGCCTGGCAAGCAAGGCACTTGGTGTGTCCGGAATCGGAGGTGCTAGGTGAGGTGCTTAACCCAGCTGTCACCCAGGAAAACGGCCACCAGATTGTACAGCGTGGTGGGACATTCCATGTTCTAAAGCCATCATTGGCACACAGGGTCGAGACCGAGAGGACGCAGGCCAAGCACTTGACTCGCGTGCTCGCCACGATGAGCGTTGTGTGGGCTGAGCGACCACGTGGTGTGGTCCCCGAGTTCCGAGATGCGAATGAATCTTCGAAGAGGTGCATGCTGAGACAGGCTTCCTGCCTGTCATTTCTGCGGGAGCCGGCGGGGAGTTAATGTGGCACAACTCATATGTGCCTAAGGTGGGCAGCTTGGACAGCTATGATGTGGAACAGCTGTGCAAGAAAGCGCAAAGCTGCGCTTGATGTTGAAGTATGGGATTGGATCTCGCGGTCCACACGTGAAAGCTGTGTCAAGTTTCACGCCCAACCAACAGACGAATCGACAAATCAACAACCACATTTGGCCATCTCGAACGTGAGAGCAGACGAGAAAGCTGCCAGCACGCCTGAGTCCCGTTCTGTTTCGGGTATATTTACACTGCCACCCGGATGAGCTGAATGTTCGTCTCGAGCTGAAGTGAAGTGAAATCCAAGCCATGTGAAATTTCATGTGTTGTGTCTGGTGCACGCTGCTCCAGGAAGTTTTTATCGACGTGCAGAGGAAGCCTGATGAGAAGCTCAAGGCCCGCCGGCTTCGCACAGCACAGCAGAAGTTGGGTCTTGGAGGGAGACATTCGTTTGTTGAAAGCTTCTCAAGTCTTGGAGCTGTTGGGATATCGATCTCCCGGACGTGGAGGCATAGGCTCAACCTGCCGTAGCAGATGAGTGCTTGTAGCTGGTATTGCATGCCGTTGCTCCAGAATCCCCTGCATGCAGTGTCCATGTGTTACGGCTTTTTGGGGAGTCTTAGGTTGCTTGTGTTTTTGCGCGCGAAGTTGCACGCAGGTGCAACTAGAGAACGAGATTGAGGTAATGCGGAGCTTGAGGCACGGGCGCTTGATGATATAGGCTGTATGGTTGGGCAGGCTTCGCATAACATTCCAAATCAGTGTTTGCGGCAAGCATGCACCCTCTCTATGTTTGGCAAAATGCCTGCTGATAAAGCCTCACGTGGGCGGCTAGATGCCTGTGACAAGAGGCATCCGCACATCGTCTCTTACTACGGCTGTCATTGGGCTGATGACCACCTCCAAATGTACCTGGAGTATATGGCCGGCGGTTCCCTTGCGCAGGCGAGACAGTCTGTCAATCCAGTATGTTGATGTTCGTGGCCTGCTTTGCCTTTGCCATCAGCCTCAGCACATCCAGTCTTAAATCCCGACTAATCTCGCGAGAGTCTTGACAGGTCCTTGCGAATTTCGGGCCTTTGGAGGAGTCGTTGATCGCACGGTACACGCCATGAGCTCAAGAACGCAGCAGCACATATGGGAAAGAGGCAAGGCTACCGAAAGCAGCCCAAAAGGTTCAGAGTGCTAAGCCCTTGTCTGGGAAGCCTGCGCAGGACACTAGAATCGAAGGTCTGGCGAAAGGCGTTGAGACTTGGGCCTTGGGCACTCGGAGGAATCTTGCAGAGCGACATCTGTGCCATACGAACGAGGAGCGAGCTAGAGCACGACAAGCGGGCCATCGAACGACGGGGTCTATACCACATGGTCCTATAGACGAATGGATGTTACAACATACAATACATGCCACCCCACACAAGTCCCCTCTCTAAGCAATATCGAAAAGCAATATCAACAAAGAAGTAGATAGACAAGCAAGTGAGCAAAGTAAAGGAACATATATGGAGCCCCGAAAACAAACAAACCAATAAGCATACATGCAACTTGATTGGGCCAGACTCACCCGGACGCACCGAAAGACTTCTTTGGACTTCCATGAGCCTCATCGTTGCGCTCCCCCAGGCAGCAGCTGCTACTTGGCCTGGGCCACAGCACGGGCCACCATGGCAACAGCTTCACTCATGTGGAGTTTGTGGTCTTCGGGGGGGCGGGGCAGGCTGTTGACGCAAAATATGTACATGTGCATCGCCCTCCATCCGTGCTTCAGTCACATAGGAGCAACCATGCAGGGCACACATGTGTACACACACACACACACCTCGACGGCTTCATGCTTGTTTTTGAACTAAGTCTGCGCATTCTCGAAATTCACTGAAGGGCTCCGACGTAGCTGGAAACATTGCGGATTGAGGGCCCTGTGCTGAACCCGGGCACGGGTTCCCTGAAAGCAACTAAGACACTGCCCTGTCAGAGCGCTTCAGCAGCTCTTCAGCCAAGCTTGCCTCATCTCCTGCTTTGTGAGGTCTGGAGTATCTGCACACGCAGAACCCTTACATCTTGCATCGTGACATCAAGGTGCCATGAAAGCCGCAGTGGAAGCTGCAGCTGTGGTGAAAACAACATCTGAAACATGAGAGCAGTACTTGCTTGTTCGCGTTGGCGTTGCGTTGTGTTCTGTGACCAAAATGACGAGAGATGGTTTCACCTCGACCCTGAGTCTCCCCAAAATTCAGGGTAGTTCTCTAAATTAAATTCCCTTTTAAGGTGCCCAATATACTACGGCACCCTTATAACAAGGACCCTAACTAACAGGGACCCTAGTTTAGAAAACTACCCTTGAACAAGCCCACACTCCTAGAGCCTAGCAGAGTTCCATGAAGGGTGCGAACGTCCTCGTCGGTCTCGACTCCCTGGCGAAGCTCGCAGATTTCGGGTGCTCGAAGCGTGCCAAGGCAGGGCGTTGGCCGGCAGTTTGCCTGACTTACAGTCGGTTTGGACTTCCGGACCCATCGCTGCCTGCGCAGGAAACAACATCTGTGACCATCGAAGGCTCCATTCCATGGATGGCACCTGAGGTGCGCTGTGCACTGCGAGCAAGCATCTCACATATGGTGCTGCTAGACGTGAAAAAAGCAGACCTGAGCCAGAGGTGCTTTGCAGATTTTTAAGTCCGTCAGCTCGTAAAACTCCAACCGCGACCGCTTGCAAAATTGGGGTTTGCTGCTGGCCTGATTGCTTAGTGGGTTGTGAAGATGCAGAGGCACGAGCTGGTGACGCAGAACAGAAGCTCGAACTTCTGTGGATGAATGCTTGCAGGTCCTGACGCATTCTCGCTACGGGCGAGCAGGCCAGCTGGGTTCAGAAGATTTAGGTTGGCCGGGCTCCGCAGCCCAGTGTACGTGAGCATCGCCAAAGCTTCCTAGGCTCCAAGGGCCTCGAAGAATCTTCCGACTTAGGTTTGCATCCGCCCCGAATTCCTCTGCAAGGCAAGCCTTATGAAGCCATTGTCGCCGAGCTAGCGCTGCCGAGGTGACATCTGGAGCTTCGGATGCCTGGTGATTGAGCCGCTAGTCTTGCGTCAGGGGCGGTGCAGGTCGTCGGCTGGCACCTGAGACCTCTCCTACAGAGACACCGAGGATGGCGACTGCAGACTCGCCGTGGGGTCACTTCGACAACTTGATGGCAGCGTGCGGAACTCAGTTTCGTTCATCGCTTGTTTTTTGTTGCTGTGGTTCGGACTCGTGCTTCGTCATTTCTTCATATCGCCCTCTTGCTTGGGTGCGTTTCCTCCTTGGCTCTTTATTTTGTTTATCTCTCGGCCTGTCTAGCTGTCTGAAGCAAGGAAAACCCTCAGAGGATCTTTAGGGTACATAGATGGCGACGATTGCTTCGAATGTGTTTCACCACTTTAGAGGGTTGGCTCCAGCGACTTCATGCCGTCCCCAGCGCGAGGTTTTCAATCTCAGTATGCTACCGCAGAGCCCCACCATACTTGCATCCTTGAAAACTCGTGGAAATCTCCTGCACTGGGAATCCCATGCCAGGATTCTCAAGATCGGCATGTCTGGAGAGTTGCCACCGATCCCGGTCTCTCGCCTGGTGCATGAGGGCAGCCAGGGGCCTGTGCAACGAGCTGGGTTTTATGAGTGGTTGGGCGTAGTGGCATCTGCAGGCTGAGCACGAACAAGGCTTCCCTTGCATGAGGTTACAACCCCCCGATGTCCGGACGATACCTTACTACCTTACGTTTCTGTAATGCTTAACGCTCCTTTATTACATTGCAGTACGTTACATTCCTGTGCAGTACACTGCAGTACATTAAAGCACACTGCAGCACATTACATTACAGAACATCACCTCAGAATAGGTTATGATTACTTTACACTGCACTACATTACGTGAACATTGCAGTAACAACATAGCCATAGCTGACACACCGCGTTACATGATGCTACGTTCCATTCCATTCCATTCCTGTGCACTTCATTCCATTGCATTACACCATCACAGCACGCCACAGCACATCATGTCAACCAAAATTACACTACGTCGCATGATACCCGTGGCATCACAGTTCGTGGCAGTGCATCTCGTACACTACACGCACCACATACATTGCCTGGTTATCATACATCATACATGCCTAGATTCTATAGATGGATAGATACACAGATACGCACATGCATCCATCTTGCAATCATCCATCAATCCATCCAGCTGTCCATCCGTCCATACACCTGCCACACTAGCACACTGCCTGTCAGGATACGGTCTCTGTCAACTGTCGCGGCTTTATCCGACGCTGCACGCAACATGATCCAGGCCAGGGCTATACACCGTGACCCTGGACCCGGGATGTTTGAGCTGATGAGGAAGCCTCAGGATCTGAGTCTTCATGGCCACACGAGTCCAAGTCCCTGCTGTTGCTGCCAGGCAAGCGCCTCAGTGCCACTGAGCTCCTGAATGAAGACTTCGTGTCCAAAGCTCAGCATGAGGAGCGCAGCTGGAAGTCTTTGACTTGCACAGATGTGAATGGACTTCTTTTCATGCAATGCAGCAACCTGGGATCATGCTACTTCTTGTGGCTCAGCCCCACTCTCAGTCGGTGTTCTTACCATAGCAGGCTTTCTGTGCAGCAGCAGCGTTGGCACACGCTATCATCCGATGTGCTTCGAGTTGGAACGGGATCAGCAGCTGTAGCTTAGGCTTGTCCCAGATGAGGAGGGATGCCACAAAAAGAAAGAGGCAGGGAGAAGCACCTTAGTGTACAAAAGACATGCCGGAGGACCAAGGCTCAGCTTCAGAACGAGAGCACGGAACTAGATGCACGGAAAGGGGAGGTTTGTACCGGCAAGGGAAAGCCAGCTGATCTGCAGGAAGCCTCCACTGCTGCTCAGCCAGCCCCGGCTTGCGAGCGCATAGAAGAGGAAGCAGTGATGCTCCTGTTGTTGCGATTTGCTTCGTTTCAATCATGTGTCCATGTAGCTGAAGTGCTCACACATGCAAGCTCCCTTGTCCACCATGTTATGCATCCTCCGGTTTCCGCCACAGTAGCTTCCTTTCGTGCCTGCTTTCGAGTTGGAAGACTCCTCCAGGAGGATGCGGAGGAGCTCCTTCCCGTAGGATGGGAGCGGCACTATGACCCCCACTGGTCGGCCTGGTGCCGTGGCCGCGCTGGGGTTTCTCTCTTGGCGTTGCCGAATAGTAGTTCCAGGATGCCTCAGCCTCATCAAGTTTGATCTGTGCTTTTCCAGATGGACCACCCGTCCTTGCTTTGGTCTCGCAGCACATGTGATGGTGATGACGATGGTGATGTTGATCGGAAGGCGGAGGAGGCGGAGGAGAGCAAGGAGGAGGGTGATGATGATGCGCATGGTGAGGAAGAGGATGAGCAGGACAAGGATACGAAACGACGACAACTGCTGCGCAACGACTGCTGCTGCCGCTACTCAGCTCCTTTTGCTGTTGCTGATGCTGCTGCTACGACGACGACCACTGTGACAAATGAATTTCCACCACCACCACCTCCACCACTACCACCACCAGTACCAGTACCAGTGGTTAGTAACACAAGCGGTGGCGGCGGTGGTGGTGTGGGAGAAGAGGCTGTGGTTATCATGCCTGATAGCCAACGTGCTTCATCACGCAACCCAATAAGCAGGTATTACTGGCATCGTAACAGCGGGCGATCGCAGTGGGTCCGGCCCAACGATGACGAAGCAGACGTCGAGGAGGCACTTCTTCGATGCAGAAGTTCTCGTGCTGAAAGCCCTGGAACTGTTAGGGGTTTGTTGGACACATCACGGACAGCAAGCCGCAAAGAAGGAAAATTGTGAGCCGAGCTACATGTAGCTGCAGGAATTTCTTCCGCAGTACAGAGAGTCGAGGGGTAGCAGGGTCGAGCCAGTGCACTGGAGGAAAGCACCTCGCAGCGCAGTGGCAAAAGTGGAAAGAGTGGCAAAAGCTCTCAAGGATCCTCGGGCAGCATTTCCGAGGTCGACCCCCATGTACCTTTCCTGCTGTCCTTGCCGGTTTCAGAAGGGCTTCCTAAGATTTCTTTTCGAACTCCTCTGGCAGTCGATGGCCCCATGCATACTGTTGAAACTTTGCCGACATTGCCGAGGACCGGGACTTCCGCAGACTTTGCCAGGGTTCGTGAGTGAAGAATGCTGAGGCATGTGCAAACCGGCCGTTCCTCGGCGTTCGGTGCAGGAGATGCAGTAAGGAGCCATCTCCACAGCTCATGCACATTGCTTTGTTGGAAGCTGAGCATTAAGAAACTCGTGGGTCCTCCAAGAACGGCGAAGTCTGCACACAAGCCTTGGCGAATGCCTAGATGCCCAAATCCGCTCATTCAGAATTTGTTGCTGCTGCCCTTGCAGCCAGGGGTCTTGGATCCCAAACCACAACTGCACACTGCAGACACGATGTGCACCTTAAGCTATCTTTCTGGAAGACTGTCAGCGTAGCTGTTTTTGGGAAGTTGCCCTTGCTAGAGCCTTCGGTGTTATTTGGCAGATTGAACAGGACCCATGACCAAATATGATGGGGCCTCGGAAGCTATCCAATGAAACAGCTACGAAGAGAGTGGGAACCTGCAGGTTCGGTCGTCCGGGCAGTGTTGATGATCTGTCGGCTTTAATCCTCCTGCGTCCTGCTGTCTGCAGAGTCCTGACATCTTCCGTTCAGTTTTTAGAGTGCAAAACCCGAAGGCTTTGTGCTGTCGAGTTTGGCTGTCGATACCCCTGGCAACGCGTAGAAGCAGTGGTCGGAAGATGCAACTTTGTATGCGTGGCCCTGACCGGAAATGAAATCTGCACTCTCTTCTGAATCGTGCTCCTGCTCATGAACCAGCCCTGGGCATACACCGACAAACCGCCTTAGGCGACGTTTCACAACTCAGCCAGGAGGGCGGGAGTTGGGCTGGTGGCACGACTGGGTCATTAGATTTAGTCAATATAGTCATTTGCTGCTTCTGGTAATTCCCACAGATTTGATGCTGAGACTTGCCGAGCAGTTCGCATGGCTGTCCTCATTCTTATTAAAAGTATGTCAGCGTTGTTTACATGTTGCACCATTCCGTAGAAGACTCATGCTCGACCTCCACCTTGCTCCGAGCCTTGCCATCACGACCGCGAAGCGAGACATGACAAGCAATGGACGCTGCGATCCATGAGACGAGGTAAGAATGAGTATATTCCTGAGTTTAGGACCCCGTGTGTGGTTTTTTGGGCTCATGATGCGACGTCAGGATTCATGCAGCAGTCTCTCGGAGAAGAGAAGCAGCGGCCGAAGCAAAAGAAGCTCCAACCGTTAGTTACACTATGACTGCGGAGGAAGAATCGATCGAGTCTTTGCACAGGTTGCCTTTCCACAAGTTGCCTGCAAGCAAGATCAAAACGATCATCGTGCATTGGTTGTCGTCGTCAGCACAGACGGCCCATACCGTGTGTTGACGGTCGAAGTGCGAACAAGGGGGCTGCCATGCCAGCGAATTCCTCAGCCAGAAGGCCTTGCAAAGATTCATTGTGAAGCAGCTCACATGACTGGGCTCCGCGAGCGCCCAAAGAGAGCAGGATTGCACATTTTTGCGCGCACGAGGCCATCCGCAAGGCAGTATATATGCAATATCTCAGTACATAGCAAGCAGTCAAGCAGACGGACAATCCAAAGGACTCCCTCCTCAACACTGAAAATAGGCCGACGAGTTGACACACTCGCACGTTTTTGGTCCACGTTTTGGCTTTCTGATTCGTTAGCCGGTTAATGCTTTCTGGACATGTGACTGCAGGCTGCCTTTCGTGTGTCGTATCCTACGCCCGCATGCGAAAACCTGGTCCGACAGGCCTTGTAGGACATTCACAGGAAGCCTTCTGTTGTCAACCGGGCTCTTTACATGATGTCAGGTTCATACCTACGGCTTTCTAGCTACGATTCTGGAGACCACGGACAATCCCTGAGTTGATTCAAAAAGTTGAGTTCTTTCTTGCGTGAGTTTCTGCGATGGGCTCCGGTGCGTCTGCTGGTGCATCCACGCCGACGCTGCCTTGGCCGGAGGGTGCAACGGTCGTTCTGCGCCCAGGCGCTGGGTGGGTCTGGGACGGGGTATGCATCATCGGGACTCGTATTTGGGGCTTGGGAGCCAAGTGAAGATGGTTGACGCAGCTTACACCTGGTGTCGAGAGCGCAGTTGATATCGTCATCATCCGTCATGCATGGTGTGCAATCCCTGGCTTCTCCAGAGACTGCTCTACCCTGCAGCACAGAAAGCGTCTCAATGATGGGCCTGTAGTGCAAGCTACAGAAGCGTGTGCTGAGCCTTTCTCCCTGGCACTTGCAGATGGCGCGCTGCCGGATGGACTGAAGACCAGTGGCCCGGTTCCATCGACTGAAAGTGGCGTCCCTTTCTGGAGGCATCGAGCCTTTTTTAATTAAATGGGTGGAGGTTGCAATTGGTTGTCGGTCGACTTTTTCCTTCGCTGCGTCTTTACCTTTTTCGCTGCGTGAGCGAATGTGAGCGAATGCCGCCCAAGTTGGTGTGGTGCTGAACTTGGAGGTGCGATTGCCGTTCGGCAGTGTTCGACTGTCATGATCGTCCTCGCCAAACAACGAAACTGCTTTGCCCGGCTGTGGTAAGTGTTGGTTTCTACCCCCTAAACCGTTTCCAGTCAAGTCGACCTTTAGCGTAAACCGCTTCTGCCCCCTTAATCGGCAGGCTTGGAGGCGCTGGCAAGGGCCGGCTCCACGTGATCGAAGATACCGCGGGGCTGCTTGAGCTGAAGGCAGGTCATGCGAGCCGCACTGTAGTCGCTTCGTCGTTACCACTATTTACTATGCTACTTTTTTGGTTAAATGTACTCTGACAGTTGTCAGAAGAACGCCTGTGATACTTCGCAGATTTGTTGTCATCACCTGTTGCGGTTCTCACTCCTTGGTGTGATTTCAGGAGAACTTCTCGATTGCCGTTTGCTTCCGGCCTGGTGCCGGTGATGCGCAGGGCTGGGACAGTCTTCTCTTAGGTCATGCGGCAGCCCCAGCTTTCTATGAGAAAGCCAGGAATTCGAGGGTGGGAGATGGGGCGCAAGTTGATTGCAGGGGCATCGGGCATGTGGGACTGAAGGTTGTTACAGCATTTTTTCAGGACAGCTGAGTTGGGAACGATGTAGGCCTTCCCCACCGAGGACAACAAGCATTGGCTGGCCATGCCAGGCGATGACAAGACCAAAGTTTGCTGCTTCGATGCCAAGAATGCAGTTTGGGGCTGAACAAAATGCGAAAGGTTTGGACACGGGATATGGTCTCCCATGAAGGACAAGTAGCAATCATATCCACGCATCTGAAGACAACGACAAGCTCGATCCCGAAAGCATGTGCCATGGGCCTGGATATGCAGATCTTGTTCGTGCTTCTGTGATCGAGTGTTGCGCACTCAACCAGCGATAGAAATTCTGATTCGACCTTTGCTATGATTTCCGTGAGGGTGGCGCCACCACAGCTCAGGTTGCATGGACGGGGATAGTTCCTTGAACTTGAACGCGGACTTCTTGGACCAGGCGTCATCCGGGATTACATGTGTCAGAACCGAGCTTGGAAGTGATGACTACGCTCTTTAACTGATATGCATTTGCACTTGTGGGGGTATCGCGGCTGCCCTCGGAATCTAAGATGCCCAAGACAGCCTTGTTGATGGTGACGACGATGCTGATAAGGTTGATGGCAATGACAGTGATATTGATGTTAATCGCTGCTGCTGTTGCTGTTCCTGATGAGTTCTGATGATGAGGTCGACGCCTTCATTCAGCATGCCCAGTTATTCCGTGCCCGCATTCCACACGCCCGGCAGGGCTGGATCCAAATCTTTCTGCGGTCCGTGGAGGGTGGGACTTCCGTCTTTGGTATGGACCAGGCGTCTCATCCCTGTTTCAGTGAGTCGTTTGATACCGACAAAGCATAATTGTTTGGCAGCTAAGCACCTTCGAGGGCCAATCCGAGGCTTCTTCGGGGACATAGCCTTTCAGACTTCTTCATGGCCCTGCATTTGCAGCAAACCTTGCTCCGAACAATGGATGTCGGTGAATGGGTGGCCGCTGGCCCTTGCTGGACCTTGCATAGAACAAGCCGAATCGTTTGCACGCACAGTCTTGGAGTTCCCAGCACGAAGTCTCGCACCTGCCCCGACACCCTGAACCCTCAGTTGTCGCGCCGCCTTGCATGCCTTGTGCGAGCATGGGAGTCGAAATGAATTTCTAGCCACCCGAGTAGAGCAAAGCATGCCAGCGGTGAACTTTGGATTTTTTGCCGAGGAGGGGCTCCTGGATTTGGGTACCTTCCCAACTTCACTGGTCGGCTCAAAGCTGCGAAACGCCGGCTGGGCCACCAATGAGGCAGCAGTCGACCTGTGAACTACGACACAAGACTCACTTGCCTCATCTTCCCAGTCTCTGCTGCGAGTCGCAGTCGTCACAGATGGTGATTCTGTTGATTTGCCATGGTAGAATGTTGACATTGCTTTTTCTGTTTGTCACTCCGAACATTTCGTAGCACGCGAGGTCCGAAGCATTCCTCTCCTTTTGGCACAGAGGGAGGGCTCGCGAGCACAGATGTGGTACTTGTATCGAACCAAATCAACCCCACACCAGTTGAAAGGTCAGCAGCCCGTCAAGCAAGCTTGCACAGGTTCCCGTAAGGACCTACCCTTGCTTCTCCCCCTTGGAGAGGCTTCCATTAAGGCAGTGCTCGGAGCTCCAGTCACTCGCTGGCTCATTTCGCAAGAGCGCTTGGGATGACGGAGGTTGACATTGCGGCCATCGCCTTCTGGGATCGGATCCTGACCTGGGCGGAGCTTTCGCCGCGAGGGGCTTGGAGAGGGATTTGAGAGGCGTGCTCAGTACCTCAGCACAACGGACGGTGAGAACCATGGTCATGGTCCAAATTACAACGGGACGGCTGCATGGCAAGAACAAGGGAAAAGGATGGCGGAAAGCCAGGAAAGGAGAGTGTGTCTAAGGCCAGCTCCAGCTCCCGCACCGGCGCCTCCTCCAGCTCCAGACGCGCCCATTCCCAAGCGTATCTTTGGCCAGGCCCGGTTGCTCGCTTTTGTTTCCCTTGTCCTCATACGTGGGGTTGCTTGGTCCTGGAAGCTGGGTGCAGCCAATTGACAGACAGGTCACAGACCTCGCTGGCGAGCCGCTCAAGGACCTGCCTGTGTTCATTTAAGCCGAGAGAGCGCAATTGCACTCGGTGCTTGGATAACGGAGCATTAAGTTTATACTGACCGCATTGGCAGCTGCAAGGATGTCAGCATCAAGTGGAAGATGGGCGGCTGTATCTCGGATGGTGAGGCCAAAAAAACACCACTTCCCACCGCTCCATTCCGCCCTGCCCTTCGCAGACATTTTGCCTGGGCTTTTAGGGTTTAGGGTTTAGAGTTTAGGCTGCCTGTGGGCAGGTTTCTGCCTGGATTCGCTACCCGGCTCCGCAATCCTTAGCCAATGCGGAGCACCTGGCAGGGCAGTTTCGCGATGCTGGAGGAAGCAGAAACGGATGTGCCAGAGGACACGCCTCCCGTTTCAGTGGAAGTCGGTCTCGCGGTCGCCAGAAGAGTTGGGTGGTTGCTCGGTTGTTGATTGTGGCTTGATGTTGCCTTGATGCTGCCCTGCCGATTGAACATGTCTTGGAATCTAGAAGCGGTCGGTGATAAATGGGCTCAATCTCACCTGCTTGGTTCTGCGAGGATGGAAGCCAAGCTTCTGCTTCTTCGACCTCCTCGTGTGTCAGCTTCGAGTGTGACTGGGATTGACTGGGTGCAAGGACAAGAGGGAGAGCTACTCGTAGTTAAGATGAAGGTGCATCTTCCACCAGTATGTACTACGGAGATCGGAGATGTAAGCTTACAGATCAGAAGGTGGTCAAGGAAAACAGTCGCACACTCTCAGCTCGGAAAAGTCTCGTAGCAACCAGTCTTGCGCCTTTCAGCAGTCATGCGTGCGTGACATGGAAGATGATGAGTTGGCATGACCTGCCTCTCTCTCACTCCTCCCTCCCGCCCTCTCTCTCTTTGTCTCTCTCTCTCTCTCTCTCTCTCTCTCCCTCCCTCTCTCTCTTCGCCCGTGCGTATGTACAAGCGTGTGGATGGATGAATCGATGGATGGATGAATGGATGGACGGATGGAAGGATGGATGGTTGGATGGCTGGATGGCCAGATGGCTGGATGGATGGATTCATGGAATCATGGAGGGAAGGACGGATGCATGCATGTACATCTATGCATGTTGTCGTTATTGGCCGCTTATGTATGTATGTATGTATATATATATATATGTATATGCATGTATATGTATGTGTGTATAGATGCAGATATGTATTCGTTTATTTAGATGTGTATCTACACCTGATACATATCTGTGCAAAGTGAAGGGTGTTTGCCTCAAACCGACTTTGCCTCCTCATGCTTAGCCTGTCCGTCTCAGTTTGCCACTCTGCATCTCTCTGTCTGTTCTTTTGACCAGCATTTGTATGTATATGTATATATATAGATAGATAGATAGATAGATAGATAGATAGATAGATAGATACATACGTACATATATATATATATATATATGTACGTATGTATGCATGTATGTATGTATGTATGTATGTATGTATGTGCACAAATGAGCTTTTCTCTGTTTTGCATGTGCAATGCTTGAGGAAAGATATACATGGCTCAATCGAGTGCCCAACATACGAGCTTGCTTCAAGCTTGTTGGGCCTCAAGGGCCGGTATGTGCAAGCGCACAGACGTCTTTCAGTCGCCAAATGCCGTGTCTTGTGTGTCGTAAGCCTGGCCCTCCGAGGTCATTTTCACTTGCAGCTTCGGCGATGGCCACAAGTCCGCGCAGCAGGCAGTCGAAGACTTCCTGCAGGTGGGCGCGTGCCGAAGAGGAAGCCGACACTCTTCACTGGGACTGCCAGGCGGCCGGCTTCGTCGTGGAGGCAGTGGACACGACGCATGATCCGCGCTTCGAGGTGTCGGGGTCAATCATGGATTTTTGGTTTCCGGGTGGCACCTCTGTGAATCGACGGGTACACATGTTTGGTTAGTGCTTGGAGGACTCATTGCAGAGGCGACTCAGCAGCCAGAGCCTGAAGTCCGGCATCCTCCGAGGTTGATTCTACGTTCCAGAGTGCGCAGATACGCTGTGTTTTCGGAGAAAGGGTCGAGTTTATTGAAAGCCAGCTCTTCGCCCCCACAGTAGCTCGTCCTGGTTTGGCCCCGAGATTGGGGTTTACGCTTTGGCAATTTGGGGACCGCTGCTTCTTTGCTTGTTCTGACATGTCCTGGTATGGCCCAGCACGCCTCATGGACGTCTGGTACAACCGGATGGTTCTGCGATGGTCGGAATCTCATGACATTGAATCTTTTCTCGCCACGTCAAGCTCTGTGCCACATGCTTCCCCATTTCTGCCCAGATAAATGCAGTTGAGATCTGTACCCAAGTGCTCTTCAACTTCTGCTTGCGATTAAGGAAGATGTACAGCATCCAGAACATGGTTGAATCGATGGGTCCTGATCCCAGTGCACGCTTCGCTCGGCGCGGAACATCTCCCGGACCGAGTTGCGGTGTGGTCAGGCACCCTTTTCTTCGGGCAGTGGAATTCGCCATGCCCTTCCCCGACTTGCAACACTCCAACCAAGGAGCTTTAGACTTTGAGCCGAGTTTGGGCCTGGCCGAGCTCGAGCAGGGGCATAGCCTGCGAGGACGCATTTCGAAGTGTGCTCCTGGAGCAGAAGCCGGACATCGTGGCCCGGTCCTCAGCCACCGAGTGGAGCCCTTCCGCTTGCAGAGATCAGTCTGGCTTGATCTCATCACCGACCGCGATCGCACAGCACCGAGAATGATGTTGATGACGACTAGGAGGGAATGCGTAAGCATAGAGGAGATCAACACATAGCATAATCATTCGTGAAGATTCCGGTTCGAGAGGAAGGGAACGCATCAAACTCACGGCCTGTCCTGTGATGCACTGCCTCAGGTGACTGTGTACCACATGGACGGGCTGCACATGGCTGCTTGTGGGGTCAGGCGATCGCATGGGCATTTGAGCTCCTGTGAGTTTCAGGACCTCCTTCCCATTCTCGAGGTTGCGAAGGATGTGGGCAACCTCCCGGTACTGCACATCGCTACGGCCGCGGCCCTTGTTTCCTCTTTGCATTGCAAGACGATCTTCAGGCATGATGTGCAGGGTGTTGTTCAAGCTGGCTCGAGTCTATCGAAATCTCTTCGTTCAAGACCAGATTCAGCTCCTGTCCAGTACGTATGTCTGTGTAGCCAAGGACATGGATCTGAAAATGTGCGAGGCGGGCTCGCGTGTGGCTTGTTGCCGGCGCGTGCTTTCTCAGACTACAGTGCTATCATTTCCGCAGAGTGCATATTCGGTGCCGCAGAGCACAGCTCAAAGCTTTCGATGCCAAAGATGTGGTGCGACCCCATTCCTGCCTCAGCTGTGATGCCGCCAGGCTAGCACAAGTGGCTCCATCTGTTTATGCAGCCCAAACTTGAATCCAGGATTGACAAATCTGATGTAGTGAGCTCCGGGGCCATGGTGGACTCTCCACGTACTCCACCTCCGGTCTCCCGGAAGGTGCGGGTAGCCGGCCTAAGGGCCTAGTTGGTACAGATCTCTTAGAAAGAGCTTCTGCATTCGAAAGGCAGGTAGGCAGGCTTGCCACAAGGCAAGACTGAGTGGACGGGTGTTGCACTAGAAGCCAGGGTAAAGTGCAAGAGGAGGCCTTTTCCCTGTGTTCAACGACCCGACCATCTCACGGTCATCTTTCCTTTACGCTTTCACAGACTAGGCTGCGCATAATGACGATCATTTGATGTGCCCGTGCTGAACGCGCCAAGTGCAGAAAAGGGCTGCAATCACGCTCACCCCAACTTTCGGCCCACTTGCATTGAGCATGATTGTTGATGCTCTTCTTCTCATTACTAATAGCCATAAATAATGCCAGGCAGTGCTATCTTGTCTTCTTGGCGTGGTTGCTAATCACAGCAGCTATTATTCGACAATGCTTTCGTTTTTCGCCCCATCTGCTTTTGTGGTTGTGATTCTTGTTCTCTTTCTGTTCCTTTTTCTTCTGCTTCTTCTTCTTCTTTTTCTTGCTGCTTTGATTTGTTTTGGTTCGTTGTGGTTTGTTGTGGTTGTGGTTGTGATTTTGGTTATAGTTGCGATTTTGGTTGTGGTTGCGATTTTGGTGGTGGTTGTAATTTTGGTGGTGGTGGTGGTGGTGGTGGTCGTCGTCGTCGTCGTCGTCGTCGTCGGTTGGTGTTGGGATGACACTTTTGATGCCATTACCATTCTTATTTCTTCTCGCTGTAGCACCTTTGCGAGGGCAGCCGCGAGTCGACCGTGTACGGACGGTCGCGGGTGCCCAGCGATGCGATGGATCTGGAGGCTCGCTGTGCACGAGAGCTGGCGGATGCCGAAGATAGGTGTGCAACGAAAAACTGCTCCGTCCCCTGTCATGCGGTATAGTTCCTTGAATAAAACTAGAATGGAGTTTGGGCGCCCTAGTGATGTTGCCTTCCCATTGACTCTCCTTTGCTTCATTGGTCAGTACTTTGCAAACCGTCTATAGCAACTTTCTTTCAAAATGGTTCGGCCTCCGGACTTTCTCGTGTTCAAGCCTGCTGTTTTCTGTCTGGCACACTCTTCTCGCCAGCGCCTGGGCCCTCGGGTGGGCCCTCGGGCCGGCTGGTAGGGAGGTGGCTTCATTGCGGCTTCATCAATATAATGTTACCCGTGAGCCTCTTGACCGTGGTTCGGTAGATTGGGGGCTTGGGTTGGCTTGGGGGCTCCGTGGCTTAACGGGGGTTTCGGGTTTGGGGGCTTGGGGATTCAGGGTTTGGGGGGCCTTAGGTCGGGCTTGAGGGAAGCAAATTGATGACAATTGTATGTGCCTTTAGATTGACCATCAGCAAAAAAGGAAGCAAACAAGAATAATCAGCAGGGCAAATAAGAAACACTCATTATAGACGCCCCCCCCAAAGAATGGTACCGGCTTGAACAAGCCAAAAAAGTATACTAGATGCCCACTGGTTTAAAGAAGCCGCCACTTTGCTCCCTTCGGGGTTCACGGCTCTGGTTACGGGGGCGGGGGGTTTACGCTTTGGCGTTTAGGCGTGGTTGTACGGTTCTCTCCTTCGCGGTTTAGGTTTTAGGACATGGGATCTTTTAGGGTTTAGGGTTTAGGACAAGTTCAGGGGCTGGACTTGAAGGAGTACGGTCTTGAAGTCAAGAGAACGTGGTTACCCCCGCCTGTAACAGTGGGGTACACTCGGATACGCGCAGATCGGCCGTCATTGCAATGGATTTCGAACACAAACATATGCGTGTGCATGCGAATTATCGACGCGCGTGCGCTCGGAAACCTTGTATGTTGGAGGCGGCGCCTCTTGACAGCTAAATGTTCAATATTCCTCTTTAATTTACACAGTCTTGTAGCTTTGCATGAGCAGGCTGCCGTGAAAGCAGAATTCTTAACTTCAGGTGATTCGGCACCAAAGCAGGCAGGAACTAAAAACGCGGCTACTTTTGCATCTTCCAAGCGCCAAGACCTCATCATGCTTTTCCAGAAACGCTTCCAAGAGCCTTGCAGAGGATCGCTCCCCCAGAAGAGCCTGGTTTCAGGAGGCGCGAGCCTTAAAGCGGGAGGTCTTTCAAAGCATTTGGGCTGATACCCAAGTAGGATTCAGGGTGTCTGGTGTTTGCGGATTGGGCTTTTGGGACAGCTTGTTTACGAGTTCGTCGCTTCGCGACCAAGCTGATGCTACGGAAAACGATGCGATGTGGGCGATGTAGTTCCAAAGCCATTTCTGCACTTTCTACAACATGCAAGCTAATTGCTTGGATCTGGGTTCAATGCTGAAGTGATGTGGGCTTGCAAACTCACTGGATGCCTGGCTGGGGCCACTTCCAATACTTCCTGGTTACAACGAAGGATGGCCGATCCCCGAAGAAGAGCAGTGGTGACCGCACCGCCCTCCGACTGGGTGCCACTTTAATGTGACTTGGATTGATAGCTTTGCTGTTGGTTTCGGACTCTTCGTCTCGAGTCTAATATGTCGTTCTGACTTTGACGATGTCGTCACAGATGCATTGATACTGGCTTAATAAGACTACCCATGATTACCCTTGACGGACTTCCTTTCCAGGCTCATCAAGAATTCTTCAATCCCTGAGTGAATCTGCCGGTGCAAGAGTTAGAGTTTTCAACGAGAGTGGGAATCTTCTTTCGATACTCAGGCCCATCCGTGCTGGTGCTGACGGTGGTCTGGAAGTGCTTTGCGCGCAAAACACAGTCCCCTGGAAGTTAATTCGAAGATGCATAATTTGGAAGTTGGGCTTCTCCAATCTTCGACGGGATCAGGAGATTGACCGTGAGTCACACCTGACCGGGAATTGCCAGGTTGACAAGTCGCCCACATTCAGCAACATAGCCGGTGTGAATGCTTGTGTCAGGTTCTCAACTACCTGAAGTCAGAACCGGGCAAACACGTGCTCGTAGACTTTCCTGGGGAGTTTCGCCTGCTGGGGGCTCTCTACAAGCCTGCAGTGGATGTGACCCTCGGCCTAGAGTGCGCTTTTGGGGTTCGAGTCCTGCTCCTGCAAACTGACAGCAATAAGCTGATTTCCCACTGTCGGGACGGGGAAGTTTTGTAGCTTGGGCTGCTGCAGTCAGCAAAGGACCCCTTTGGACACTGCGATCCGCGGCCTGGGACTCTGCCACCAAGTCATGAGTCATGACGCACCCTTTGCGATTCCCGACCGCGAGAGCTGATTGCACGTGTTTCTGCAAAGCCAGCAGGTCTTACCAGCGCGGGATTGAGGAATGCACAACGCTACATCCGCACCTTGTCAGCTGTTGGAAGGTTGATAAGTTTTCCGGGTGGAATGGGCACAGGTGACTCAACTACGATGCTCGAAGGTTCTTATTATTGTAACATTAAATCATTGAAGGCCACGAGCAGAATCATCCACTAGGGCCCTCGCGCCTACAGGCTCTTACGTGGCAGAGAGGGAGGAGTTAGGCTTCGCAGCGATGCGTGCTATGCTCTTCGATGTCACCTTGCAGGCCTGAGCGTGCTTCTTGCTGGTGCTGGCACTTCCACCAGACGATAACGAGGGTCATGACGCTTCTGATTGCTATCAAACTGCAAAGAGTCTCAGGATATTCAACCCTTTGTGCAGGCCGGTGGGGCGCACAAGACATTTCACTTCGTGTGTTCAATGAGCCGCACGGCCTCCGAGCGCCTGGTGAATCTGCTGAACCAGTTTCTGGAAGCTCAGCAGGACTGCTGCGACTCCAAAGGTGCCGGAACCGCAATATTCGGTCTAAGCCCCGACCCCAGGGAACGAGAGGCAAGGGCAGTTTGGGAATGACTCCTCAGAATATGAGCATCCATGACCTTTGAAGCCGGGCCCGTTCCAGGCGACAAGCTCTTCGAGATTCCCGAATCTTTGCGAGCTCAGCTCTGTCCCATGTTCCACAGAGTGTCATGGTGGCGAATCGATGAGCTGCTGAATCAGTCCGAGCTCGACTTCGTAAATGATCCTTGGAGCAGGAAATCACAGCTTTAGCGTATTCGTGTCGGTTCCTGCATTTTTTCCAGGGCGCTTAGTCTTCCCAGATGAAGGAATACCAGCGAGTTGGACTGCAAGCACATGGGCGGGCTGCCCGTTCTTCTGGAAACGCACACCTGGACATGCTCCGGCGTCTTCAGAAGTTCACTGCTGACCAAGTGTTCCAGCAGTGTATCCTGACCCACGGCCTTGTTTCTAAAGGGGAGTCTTTTTGTGTGAGCGGGTCAGCCTGGCAGATGGGGTCTCGACTTCCGGTCTGTCGAGGAGAGAGCAAGCCCTGCTCTGCGTGCCGAAGAACTGCTGGAGTGAGCTCCAGTGCGGGGAGCTGGAACCCTGCATCCAAGGCGTGGTTGGTGCTAGTAAGGATTGAGTCTAGGTGAAGGATGGTCCCCGGAAGCAATGATCTGTTGAGAATGCGCCTCCTACGTCACAGCTTCTTTGGCACGGCACCCTAGCGAGTTTGCTCTATCTACGTCTTACACGTTCTGCATACTGGCATAATTTTTGAACGTGTTCAATCGGGTACGAAGCGGCACATTGCCCTGATCACATTAATCGCGAACTGGTGTCTCGTATATGCGGGCATCAGTTCTACAAATCCTGATCACAGTCTTCACGCAACAGCGCTGCAGCCCTTCGGTTCTCTGGTGCCAGGATGCGATGGTTTGAACATCCTGTTGCTTGGCTGTTGAAGCAGTGCTCTTGCGCGTATCCCTTGTGGTTATCCAGGGTCGACTCTGGGGGTATACAGCTCTGTGTGCCTGAACATGGAAAGCTCCAGGAGGCTTGCAGGATATTGCAAGATCAGACAAGGTCCTACAATTTGAACATCCTTCCCTTTGGCGTGGCGTCGCTGCGAGGCGTGTTGGTCTGAGCTGCTCTGGACCGGTGGAGCTTCGGGTGAGGGGAGGGTTTAGGAATTCAGCATTCCTTCTACCAGTGAGGATGCTAATGACAGGTCAGGTATGTGCAGAGCAAAGGATGTTTGGTGCTGAGATTGCTGAGTTCGTGGGTCCAGACTCCCTTTGCTTAGCTGGTTTCTCCACTAGGAGTTCCCTCTGTCGAAGGTGTCCAGAGAGCTTTGGGAAGAGCCTACAGCTCTTGGCTCATTCCACGGTCCGCAGGCCATGAGAGCCTTCACAGCAGCGCCCGGCTTCAGCTGTTCCTGGCGGCTGTGAAGGGCGAGCTCGAGGCAGAAGGATAAGCATCCCTAGACTCTCCCCCCCAAAGAGCACAATCACGGGAACATATTAGAGCGTGGTTCAGGGATGTCTTTGGGTGGATCGGCTTTCATCAGAGTATTTTGAAAGGATCCCCGCAAACTGTTTGCATTCGCAGCGTTTGCTGGTTGCAGAGTTGATTCGCTGCGACAGTGGAGGGATCTGGGAGTCTGCCGTGCCCGAGCCCCTTGACGCCAATCGGCTCATGCACGAGGCAGAGGCCGGCCCACGCGAAGCCGGCAAGGCAGCTTTCGGGGCCAAGGTTGCTTCGGAGTGTTTGTAATGGCTTTAGGATGTTCGGAGATCTGAAGGGCTTCGTGTTGCAGGGGCGTCAGTGATACCGCAAAGATCTGCGAAGACAGCCGTGCGAGGATCGCGTCCGAGCGCCGGACGTGATTGCTGTGCAGGAGCCTTTGTTTGCTTTGACGTGTCATGGCGCTGGGTGCAAGGTGGAGTTGATTTGCAGGATGTTGAGTCAGAGCAGAAAGCTTGCATTGTTCACCAAATCTTTGCAAAGCGGGGAGACCATAGCAGCACAGCTGTGTCGATACAAGCCCAGTGCACGTAACTTATCTCAGAAGCAAAACTTGGGTTTGTTCATTGGTCGACAGGGTGTCTAATGAGATACATCCTGATGCCAAAGCTCATGGATGCCGCACCCGTGCAGCGACTACTCCAAAGGACCCCAAACCCGAGCCGAGGCTTAGATTAAAGCTTCAATTTGTTCCAAACTCGCAGTCGACCCTGCGTTTCTGGACAGCACCTCAAACAATGCAGCGTGGAAGAGGAGCTGTTCGCCTCACCATTCGTGCCGTGCTTCTGTGCACAGTCCGCTGCCGTGAGTACCTTGACGTGCAATGGAGTCGTCTGGAGTGTTCAGACTCTGTTCAGGGCCATGTGTTTCCGATATCTCTGTCCTCAAACCCAACCCTCTTCAATCCCTACGAAAGTACTTGCCCACAAAATGGATATGGTCATGTTGATTTTCCTTGCTGTAGTGGATGACCGTCATCGCAGTCACAGTCGCCTCCAACATCAGAATCATAGTCATAGTCATAGTCATCATCGTCATCATCATCATCATCGTCCCGATCCAGCTCACCATCGTCATCACAAACATCACAGTGATGATGGTGATCATGATGTTTGCAATGGTCATCATCATCGTCATCATCATCATCATCAACACCGCCGTGGTCGTAGTAGTAGTCGTCGTCGTAGTCATGGTAGTCGTCGTAGTCATGGTAGTCGTAGAACTCCTAGTAGTAGTAGTAGTAGTAGTAGTAGTAGTAGCAGCAGCAGCAGCAGCAGCAGCAGTAGCAGAAGCAGAAGCAGAAGCAGAAGCAGTAGCAGTAGCAGTAGCAGTAGCAGTAGCAGTAGTAGTAGT